CTTCCCCTGCAGTGGTCATCACCACGATAAGGGAAATTGAACACTCAGGTACTACTCTCCCTGGCTCTTCTTTTCTCTCCGCCTGTCTCTTTCTCTCTTCCCGTCCGGTTTCTTTTTCTCTCACGCTTCCTCATCATGCCTCTTGTTCTTCTCCCCCTGCACATGTGTGTGTGTGTGTGTGTGTCCTGGCAGCAGCAGATAAACATCAGGCTGGTGGCTGCACCCCCAGTGAGATAATTTATATTTAAGAGAAAACTTGGGGAATAGGTGCGGTGAAGCCCTGGTCAATACTGTAATCTATCGCCTCTTAATCACACTGTGGCAGGTAGCGTGGCAACAGCAACTTGTAAAAGCAATCATATTAATCAGGGGCGGAGCTGAAGAGCCTAATACGCTGTCAGAATGAGCCGCCTGCAGGCAGGAGGTGCAGGAGGAGGGGAGATGGGAGATGGAGGGGAGAGAGCGCAGGGTTTATTGACAGCTGAAGGGAAGTACGAAGGAAAAAGGGATGAGATGGTTATCTGGCTATCTGCTCCTCACTCTCTCTTCCTTTCTCTTTCTGCCTTCACCCGTTTTAATTTGTTTGAGTTTCTCACAGCTCATCTTTCGGGGATCTAGCCGTTGTATTTAATGTTCTATTCTGAGCATATGTAGAGGTGTTGAAGGGGAAATGACAGTGGTTTGATGCGGCCGAGCCAATTTCAGCTCATCCAGCTGCCGTTGGAGAATGAGGCTCTGGGTTTAAAGCAGGTCTTCAGGCCGGGCTTGAACCATGTGACCCCTGTGCTCTGGGTATGTGTGTGTACTTCTACGTGTATGGATTTATGTGCATACGTATGGGTGTCATGATCCGCGGGTGCACATGTGTCAGTTTTGTTTTCCTCGTTGACACAAGTTTGTGTGTCTGTCCCCCCTCGACACCTCCTCCTGCGACACAGTGCATGTCATGTCCTCAACCCCTCCAATGAGAATGTGTCTCAGTGCTAATCCCCCACACACCAACAGAGGTGTGACAGGATACAAGGGGTAACCACCTGGCTTTGTGTCTCCTGGACCTTTGCACCGATTTACTGTCCTCACTTACAGTAAAGCCCTCTCAAGTGCTCCGACACCGGCTTCAAAGAGGACCTTCCACCGTGCATTTAAAATTAAACACCGCTCGCTAACATGTGCCTCGGCATGTACTCCAAGCTACCAGGGCTTGACAAGTCGTGTTTGGTTTACTGATCAAGTGTCAACTTTTACTTTGAAATACTTAAACTTTCTTCCAACTCTCCTATGAAAAGGACTTGTATTTCCCATGATGTCCTCCTGTCCCTCATACAGTTTCCTTCTCTGTCCCTCCAGGCTTCTCCTCCCTCTCTCTGGGAGACCAGATGAGTTTGCTGCAGAGCGCCTGGATGGAGATCCTCATCCTCAGCATCGTGTTCCGCTCGCTGCCGTACGAGGACGAGCTGGTGTACGCGGAGGACTACATCATGGACGAGGAGCACTCGCGGCTGACGGGGCTGCTCGACCTCTACGTCTCCATCCTGCAGCTCGTGCGCAAATACAAGAAGCTCAAAGTGGAGAAGGAGGAGTTTGTCACCCTCAAGGCAATCGCTCTCGCCAACTCAGGTGAGGGGCCTTCTGCGCGCTCACACACCCACTTAGGATTGTTCTTTGAATTAAAACTACGTTTGAAACAAGCATTACCAAAATGAGTGGGTGATCTTAATAAAAAGAGGTATTATTTGTTAAATTTAATTTATAAAGCACTTGCATTATAACAAAGTATTTCAAAGCATGATAGTAAATCATAATAACAAAATAATTGTTTTAAAATATGAAATCATCTTACAGCCATATGCTCTATATAAATAAATGTGTTTATAATGTATAACATTCATGATTTAAAATTACTTTTAGAGGATTAACATCATTTTTGTTTTAAAAATATCTTATTATTCCTGCTTAATTGTTTTAAATGACATTGCAAAAGCATTATTGCCTTAGGTTGAATATAACACAAAACTGGGGAAGATTAACATTTTGTAGATTTTCTTTATCTGAAAATAAAGATAAATGCAAATAACTAAATGAAAACGCTTACTCTGAAATAACAGTATAATTAAGTTTAGTTTAGTTTAGTTTATTTTATTTTTTTCGAGCGTGTAAAACCAAAGAAAATACAAATGAAACAAAAGGTGATACAGACATGATACAGTACTATACAAATGAATGCAATAACAAAACGAAACATTTAATTAATAATTGAATAATCTGTAGTATCATTGTCTGATATCAATAAACAACAAAGCTTTAGCTCATTACACGTCCGAAAAGGGGTCGGTCAATATCTAATAATAACTTAATAACATCTAGCCACATGCATTGACATTTTTCCTGACTGGACCTTTGAGTCACTCAGTGTAATATCCAGGAACGCTAAAGTATTGTCTGACACAGATTCAGAAATGACATTTCTTAGTTTTTCAGGAGTTTTTCAGGGTAACCTTTAGTTTAGAGCGTGAGATGGAGAGATGGAGAGCAGATAAGGGCATTGTACGGGAAAGAGGAATGGAGAAGGGATTTTTTTTTTTTAATTGAACACCTTCCGTGTTGTGGTATTTCTCGAGCACTCCCTCGCCCCTCTCTTTTTCTATCTCCATAACAGTAGCTGCAGGGCACAGCAGCCACGGGAGATACATTTAGCATTTCATTAGGAGCACAGGGGCTGTCAATAAAATGTGTTCAGTCGAATGGAATGAGTATCAGGCAGTGATGGGTCTCGTTTGTTCGAATGTGAGGACGGCACAGCGCTATTGACAGGCTCCTTTTGAGGAGGCAGGACCTGTCCCGCTCTGATCAATGCACGCTGGGTCACTGGGCCGCTTCCCCTTGTTTTGTCCGGGGCTGAAAAATGAAAATGCTGATGGTGAGCCTTTGCTTTCAGACAACAGAGCTTTAGTGGGGAGGTGGGGTGTGGGACAGAGGAGAGATGGGGGTCGAGGAGGAGGAGGAGGGTGTCCCGAATGTTAGAACAAGGTCTCTGGAAGATCGCTCTCCCGGGAGCCCCCCTGCTCTGACAGCTGTGAAAATTCATAGCGATTGATTTTGTAATTAGCAGTTTATCAATCGGATCGACGTGGGCTCACTGATGGATTGCGAGGAAATTGTTTCTTCAAAGTTGTTTTTTTTAAAGTCTGCCTCTCCTCCAAGGCTTCCAGGCTGCATGTCTCCTGCCCTCCTTTCCTGCCCATCTGTTGAGATGTCTCCATCACTTTTTATTTTCTCCTTTTTATTTCCCCCTCGCTGCAAAACATTCAATTATAATAGGTTCAAATCAGGTTTATTGCTTAAACGTGTTTGTGCGTGTGGAAAATAGGAGTTTGATTTGTAAAAAATGCAGCTTGTTAGGTTGTGAATCCAGCCTCTGTGACAGGAACAAGAGATAATTATGTCACACCACATCCTCATCGGAGATTTTTTTTTTTTTTCTTTTTGCCTTTTGTTCTTCCAGCCTCCCCCTCTTCCCCCCACCCTCCCCTCCCCTCCCCTCCCGCATTCACTTTACAAAACGACCTACTTCATTTTACCACTGTGGATTTGAAAACCGTCAGGGTGAGAAATGTCTCAAGGTCTTGGGAATACAGTTGTTCCAGTCAATGAATTTGGGGCGAAGTCTGAAATCTGTTTTGCCTTTTTATTGTCCCGTGTGGTAAAATATGCACCGCCAAGGTGAGACGAGTCAGGCAGCCAATGACATGCCGCCACCGGAGTGCCAGACACCGGTTAACCAGTGAGAGAAAGTGCGACCCCTGACTGTCCCTGAGAGAGGCTGCGAGATAGAAAGACAAAGGCGAGAATGAGAGGAGAGCTGTAACATGATGTACAGTAGGATCAGTCAAAGAACGGTGGCAGTGTAGCGAAACGTTATAGGAGCAAAGAACACCGGAGAGAAGCCAGACTGAAACTGTAGACCGCTCTAAAACTGGCCTCGAGGTGAGGGGGTTCTGGGCCTGTCGAAATATCAGAGGCACAGTCTTTGTTCAGTAGAAGCTAGACATAATATAGACAAATCATTAAGAAGCATCTACAGGGAAACAAATATTTGCAATTTCTTCAGTGCTATATTTAGATGGCTGGTTTTGTTCTTGCATCTAGCTGTGAAACAAACCCATTAGTATTTGTTTTCCCTCTACTCTGATGGTCCGAAACTCCTTTGAGGGAAAGGAAAGGAAATGAATTGAAAGGAATTGTTGCATTCATCTCACGCTTGTTTATAGCGTCCAATTCTCTAATGGAGCCCCTTTCTTTTCCTTGTTGTTTTTTGTCCGTAAACAATCTGTCCTTTGGAACAGTGAGGTGTTTAATGTGTACTCGCTCAGAACAGATTGGGTGCTATTCATGCCATTGTTACTGCAGGATAACATTGATTTTCAGTCTCGCTGGTCAAGGGCCGTATGAATATCCCACCCAGTCCTCCCAAGACTAAATAAAGAAATAAAGCAGATGTTGTTAAATTCTTTTTTATGATCTATTCTTTATCTTGTCACGGTGTGAGTTATACTGATAATGTGTTCCCTACCTTACTGCTTCGGACAGAGCAGTAAAGATCAATCATGAGATTTAATTTTTAGAAAAATCCATTTACTATCATTCTTGTTATATTACCAGTGTCTCCAAGTGCAAACAACACTACAAGTTACTTTTCTCCTCTTGTCAAATTTCAAAAACTTCCATCAATCTTCATGCTCCTTTCTCTTCTTGTCCCGTCAGACTCCATGCACATAGAGGACATGGAGGCGGTGCAGAAGCTGCAGGACGCCCTGCACGAGGCCCTGCAGGACTACGAGGGAGCCCAGCACCCGGAGGACCCTCGGCGGGCCGGCAAACTGCTCATGACCCTCCCTCTGCTGCGGCAGACGGCCACCAAGGCGGTGCAGCACTTTTACAGCATCAAGGTGCAGGGGAAGGTGCCCATGCACAAACTGTTCCTGGAGATGCTGGAGGCCAAGGTCTGATCGGAGGCCAAGGTCTGATCGGAGGGAGGCTGGTGGGCCACGGCGACAGCAGAGGGCTGCGTTAGCGATACAGAAAGTGACTTGAACCAAGGCTGAGGGTCCCCAGGAGAAGGAGACCCCCACTGACTGTGCTCAGCAGCAGAGAGACTGACCTTCTCTCATCCCTCCCCCTGGAACCCTGGGACACTGAAGAAAAAAAAATGCAAAACTTGGTTATTAGTATAAATATAAAAATGATGCAGATTAATTTAAAATATATAAGAAATACTATGTACAGTAATACTTTTTGTTGGTTTTTGTTAATTGTCAGTGGTCATGCTGTATATGATGAAGGACCCCTCTGCCCCTCAGCATCTTCAGAATAAGTAGTTGCCAGTTCTTGAGAACAAGAAGGTTTTCTTTCCGGAGAACTAAAAGTTCCTGAAGTTGATCTGAAGACAGCGGAGGTGTCAACAACCATAAACAGACTCACTTGTCTCAGTTGTGATTTTTTTCCTGGACTTGACCAGGACGTGTATATATTTATTAATGGAAGACTGAGTGTATAGTTTAAAGTCTGGTGAACTTGGTGGCCATTTTCTCTAGTTCTCCTGGGATTAAAAAAAAAAAGAATTAAAATTGTTACCTAAATGTGAACTCTTATCAGTTTAAATGTCCTTGGATATACCTCTCCAGAGCCGTGTGATCTTTGAGGATCGGTCTCATACTGGAAGACTTGCTGGTCCCATGTTTAGCCTAACTAGCATAGGCAGGTACAATTAGTCGTCTTATTCTGTATTAACTCAGCAATAAAGGGAGCTGTGGAGAAGTCAGGCTTAACCTCCTATCTTTCATGTGTTCACGTGCTTTTCAATGCTGCTGTTCCTATACCATGCCTGTGTATCTCAGTCCCACCAGTGGGACACACCGCTGCACACTAGTGTTCCTCCTACCCTTGTAGCGGCTTGTGTCACGTAACCCATTGAACCCCAAATTTGGTCATTGTTTAAGCCCATGGAAATTGCCACTTGGCATGCAAATAGATGACCTGATTCGGGCTAGGTGAAAGATGATCAGCGTGTTTGGTGTGGCAGTATCAAAGGATTTATGCCGAGTGGCAGAAGTCCAGGAGATTCCTTGTTCAAACAATCAGAGGCCCATATGTCAACCGCTCTATTTTGGGCCCCTTTAAGCCCGTGGCAGAGTCATCCCACACACAGGGAGCAAGGTGCCCAGCATCTGCTCTCACCATTTTAGACACCTCTCGTCTTTTAATAGCTGTGCCTGCATTTACAGAGCTCCGACAAAACAGAGGTAAATGGCAGGTGCAGAGCGGGAGTGGTGGCACTTCACACTGGGTTTATTTTTAACCCCAGCGGGAGGTTGTTGTCTGCGCGGCCGTACTGTAGACACACTTCTTCTTGACCTCATGTTGACACACCAGCCAGTGCAGAGTAACACTCCTCCACCCGGCCAAGAGGCAGGCAGGCATCTGCGAGGAGACGTCCGGATGCCTGAGCACGCACATGTGAATAGATATGCAAGAAAACAAAGTGTCAGCACGCTCCTAAGGGTAACAGCAACCCAACAGTGTGTCAGTACAAGGTGTGATCCGCGATGGGGGGGAGATCTGGGCCTCCCTTCTCCCTGTGTTTAGTCTGTTCCACTGGGTGTGAGTAATGCTGGAGTCCAGTCCAGCAGGGCCATGCCTCTCGTCTCAATATGAGAGAGAATGTGCTGGAGGTGAATGCTTATACTACTGAAGGATTTTATGTGATGTGATAAATTGTGGCACTGTCACAATAATATGATACTGTGATCAAAGGAATCCCTGACATTGCAGTAGGGTAGAGTTGCCGCCATGCTTGCGATATCAATGGCCAGCACTGATCTAGTGGCCGGCATGCCTTTTATATAGCAGCCCGATTGGCCACGTAATGCAGGAAGAAGACCCACTCCAGCACCCAATCACCCCAACTTGAACTAGCCGCTGTCCAGCTCAAAAGCTCCACAGTAGAGGGTGGCAATATAACCTGAGTTATTTTACTGTTGTGCAATGCAACAGGGACCAATTCTGACTGGAACCATGCTAAAAGCATGCTTTTACTTGGACTTGGCAGAATCTGTTCGTTATTAAGTGACATATTCTAAATCCCTCGGATCAGAAACATGTAAACTGTACAGCAGAAGAACTATATTTGATTTGCTCCACTGATAAAATACTTTTGTGCTTGTTTCAATAAAAGTGCAATATAAATGAAAACTTTTGCAGAAAATCTTTACAACTAGAATTTTGTAGTGGCCCAAGATGATCAGCCAAAAGAATAATTTTAACGGGAGTTCTCTCATCTCCCTTTCTTTCTTTTTACCTTGCAATATGGCACTGTGTTAAGTAAAAAAAGAACATGTCTTACATTACAAACTGTGTCTAAGTGTGTAAATATATCAGCGTCAGTACAGTAGGTTGCCGAAATACCATTGAAAATAAAGTATGCAGCGCTCTGCTGACTACTACCTCATTATCATATTGTCAATATTTCTCTGATTCAACACTCACACGTCTGTGACATAACTGAGCCACCCATGTTTCCATCCAATACCTGTTCCCCTCCCTCAGTGCTCCTGCCAAAATATTTGTAATGTATTTACTGATCTTCTTTTCCCACTCATTCTTCATAGATCTGTTTGTAAAGGTAAAGCATGCTTCACGTTGACCACACAACTTGGCCATCAGTGGGTTTGACACCCATGTTGGCTACTAAGCGGGTATGTGTTTTTATGTGTCAGAATTGGTCCCTTGATGACAAATTGCAGACAGGGGCAGGGGACTGATTTCCTGCTTCTGTGCTTCGAGTATTTATGGTGTGAAATATATCATTTGGCAATGATGTACATTGATATCTCTGATCGTTGAATCACCAATATCTGTGTAACTTTTACGTTTTGATTTTCAAAAAGGTAAAGGATAAATGAATTAAATACTACCTGAACTCTGTGATTTTTTTTGTGTTTGGACTTAAAAACAAGTTTTAAAGCCAGCTACTAAAATGAAAAGTTATTTCAAACAGATTCAACCAGTACAAGCAAACAATGTTTAAGCTAACAGTAGATACAAGCAATGTTTCAAATGCTAATTCGCACATAAGGCTGATGGGAACGGCATTCGTTTTGAAAGTATTTGGTCACCAACCAAAGAATTGGACACGATGAAATGTTTACATGATGAGAGTGCTAGAAGGAAGTTTAAGGAGGCTTTTTGTTATTACAGAATGAATGTCTGTAGCAAACCAAATGTCCTGGCAATTCATCACAAATTAACACAAAAAAACATTTAAAAAAAAAAACACAAAATGTCAACTTCATAGTGGCAGTGGAGAAAGTCAGAGGATCACCAAAGTCCTTTGGATAAATCATCCATGAATGTCTACAAAACATATCCTTTACATTTATTTCAACTGATAAGTGAACATTTTACCTGCTTATGGAGCTCCAGGAAAAGGCAAGGATCACCATTCACGCCATTTTGACACATTGTCTGGGTACCATGTACAACATGTCAAGGAAATCCATCTTATTGCTTTTGAGATATTCCATTCTGGACCAGAGTGATGGACCAACAGCTAAATACATCTATATTATCATCTCCTGGCATTACATTATTTACTGTATAAGTAAATAAGAGAACCTTTACTAAAACTATGAGCAACCTTTACTCTAACCCTTCCCTCGGCTTAGCATATGTATTTACCCATTGTACTATGGCCATTCCCACACACACACACACACAGGGAGTTTAGAACAAAGAGCAGACCAGTGCTCCCAACAGACCCCAGATGGGTGGTAGTAAGCTAGGCACGCCGGTGGAAGATTCACGAAGGCCTCCAACCATCCAGCCACCCCCCCCCCCTCAGCTACTGCAGGTCCAGGAGCTGTTGAAAATGGATCCGTCACAGGAAACAGGCAGACAGACACGCTGGTGGAGGTGGGGGAGAAGCGAGGGGCTGTAGCTCCATTATTTCAGGAAGCTGATATTCCAGGGAGTTAAAGTATTCCCTTCTCTATATAATTATAAGAGCCAATTTCCCTTTTTGAAATAATGTCTTGCTAACCAATTAATTGTAATAATCCTCTTCGTGGAAACAATGGCATCACAAGACAAGATGACTGGAGGATGAAAAGGGGAGGAAAAAAGAGGTCCCACACAAATAACATGTAGAGCACGGTCGGTGTGTTTTGAAAAGTAAAGAGCGACTCGTTTACCATTCAAACCCTCCATTTGGACCAGATATTGCCATCAATACGTTTCCCACAGATACAGTAGCAAGGCAATCATTTAGCTCCATTGGCAGGTCAAAACACCTTTCATTAGAGTTACGAGGCATCTCATCAAGATGCGGCCCCTCGCGCAGCTGTATGACTGCTGTGTATTGCTTAAGTGTGTTTCATTATTCCCAAAGCAACGTTGATGATGGTGAGGGAAAGGATTACACGTCAGGGTGAGTGATTGGGTTTGAACAGAGCTGCTGCATACACTTTGTATCAACCCAGGGCTCAAATTACACTTAGGTTGAAAACGGAGCACGCAAAAGCCCAGGAGAGCTTGTGGCACAGAAATGAAGAGTGGGCCACCATCTCTCTCTCTCTCTCTCTTTCTCCCTTACACACACAAACTTTTCATCTCTTTCCTTTGTCAAATTTTCTTTGGACCCCTCCTCCTTTTGCCTCCCCCTCCCCGCACCCTCCTCCTTGTTTTTGAGGCACAACCATCCTTTATGGGCATTCTTATTGTTCCACTGATTCCGTTATGTGTATTTATTGCTCCATTTGTGAAATTGGAGGCACCGGCCGACAAGCCTATTACTATTCAATAACAGGAGCTGGGCATTTTCACAACCGTGGGCTATCAATGTCCCAGACAGAAACATTACGTCACATCAATTTAAAAAAAACGACAGATTGCTATATTGTTGTTGTGTGTATTATATTGGAGGGGAAATGTCACCCGTGTCCACAGAGAACACTGCGAGTGCCAGCAGTCAACAACGAGTCCCATCTTCAACAAAAGGACAATGCAACCGGCTCAAGAGTAGATCTATTTCCTAATAGATCCTGGTTACTGCCGTCCTGTACCTGTCCCAGTGGCGGTATCGGAGCCATGCATCCTCACACCTCTGACCCTGCCCAAGACTCTCTTTGGCTGATCAATA